TGTCTCGCTTCTTTCACTCTGCACAATGCATGTGAGATTCATCCATACATGTTATTATACGTATCAGTTCCTTTATTGATGAGTAGTATTCCCCTGTATGATTATACTACAGTGTATTTATCCTATGCCCAGCTGAAGATATTTAGGCTGTTGGCAATTTTTCACAATTACAAATAAAACCACTATAAAGTTTTGCATAGAAATTTTTGTGTGAATATAAGTTTTCATTTCATTTCATTCATTTCATTTCTCTTTGGTAAGTTTTCATTTCTCGCGAGTAGGACTGCTGGGTCATATGCAAGTATATTTAACTTTATTAGAAACTGCCAGTTTTCCAAAGTGACTATACCATTTTGGATACCCACCAGAAGGTTCCAAATGTTCTGTTTTGTGTTTTTTGGTCTTATAGCCATTCTGTCAGGGAATAGTTGATTACTGTAGTTTTAATTTGCATTTTCCTAATAACTAAAGATGTTGAGCATCTTTTCATGTGTTTATTTGCCATCCACATATTTTCTTTAGTGAAATGCCTATTCAGATCTTTTACTCATTTTTTTAATTGGGTTGTTTATTTATTACTGAGTTTTGAGAGTTCTTTATATATTCTGGATATAAGACCTTTATCAGGTTTGTATTTTGCAAATACTTTCTCCCAGTCTGTGGCTTGTCTTTTCATTTTCTTAACAGTGTCTTCCAAAGAATTTTAATTTTGAGGAAGTCCAATTTATCAATTTTTTTTCTTTTATGGCTTGTGTTTTTTGTCACATAAAAAAATCTTTGCCCAGGGCCAGCCCAGTGGCGTAGCTGTTAAGTTCGTGCGTTCTGCTTTGGCAGCCTGAGGTGCGCTGGTTTGGATCCTGAGCGTGGACCTACTCACCACTCATCAAGCCATGCTGAGGCGGCTTCCCATATAGAAGAGCTACAACTCTACAACTATGATATACAACTATGTACTGGGGCTTTGGGGAGAAAAAAGAAAAAAAAAATCTGCCCAACCCAAGATCACATTTTCTATGTTTTCTTCTTCAAGTTTTATAATTTTAAGTTTAATTTTAGGTCTATGATCCATTTTGAATTAATTTTTGTTTATGATGTGAGGTATGAGATGAGGATCTGTTTTTTCATATGAATATAAAATATATCATTACCATTTATTGAAGAATATCCTTTCTCCATTGAATTGCCTTTGCACCTTTATTGAAAATAAAACCATATACGTATGGATCTATTTCTAGATTCTCTATTCTTTTCCATTGAGCTGTGTGTCTGTCTTTTCACAGCACATTGTCTTGAGTTCTGAAGCTTTCTAGTTATTTTTCAAAACTGTTTTGGCTACTCTACTCTCTTTGCATTTCCACATCTACTTAACAACCAGCTTGTTAATTTATACAAAATAACCCTGTTGGGATTTTTTTACTGGGATTGCATTTAATCTACAGAACAATTTAGGATTAGCTGGATTTTTAACAATATCCAGTCTTCTAATCTATGCAGACCATATACCTCTCTATTTATTTAAATCTTTGATTTCTTTCATCGTTTTATAGTTTTCAGATCCTGCACATATTTTGTTACCTACATAAAGAAGTAGTTTGTGTTTTTGCTATTATACTTTTAAAAAAATTTTCAATTTCTAATTATTCTGGGTTAGTATAAATACTAACCCTGTACCTTGTGACCTTATATTTTTTGTGTGTGTGTGAGGAAGATTAGCCCTGAGCTAACATCAGATGCCAGTCCTCCTCTTTTTTCTGAGCAAGACTGGCCCTGGGCTAACATCCATGCCCATCTTCCTCCACTTTATATGGGACACCGCCACAGCATGGCTTGATGAGCGGTGCACTGGTGTGCGCCCGGGACCCCAACTTGCGAACCCCGGGCTGCCGCGGAAGCGGAAGTGGAGTGCGAGCACTTAACTGCTATGCCCCCGGGCTGGCCCCTCTTGTGACATTATTAAACTCACTTATTAGTCCTGGTAGTTACTGTGTAGATTTCGGGAGATTTTCTGTGTAAAAAATAACTACATTTGCAAACAGACACAGTATTATTTCTTCCTTTCCAATCTAAATGTCTATTATTTCATTTTCTTGCCTTAATGTATCGGCTAGGACCTCCAGAATGATAGGAGCAATGAGAGCAGGCATCCTTGCCTTGTTCCCAATTTTCGGAGGAAAGCACTGTTTTACTATTAAGTATGATGTTAGCTGTGGGTTTTTCATAGAAGGCCTTTATCAGGTTGAGGAAGTTCCCTTCTAACCCTAATTTGCTCAGAGTTTTTATCATGAATAGATGCTGGATTTTGTCAAATATTTTGTCTACATATACTGAAATGATTACATAGTTTTTTTCCTTTATTCTGCTAATATGGGGAATTATGTTGGTTTATTTTTTTTTTTTATG